CACTCGCCTTATCCTTCGATGCGGTGGTGACGTCTTGCAAATCGGCTGCGGCCAGCGGTGAAACTAGCCCCAACACCAAACGTTTCCCGCTACAATACTGTAACCAGTACCACACAACCCCGTAGTACACGGCCTAAATCTATTTTTAAACAGCTTTTTTTTCTGGAACGAACTGTTTTTTATTAATAAGACATACATACAGGTCCACAGTGGCACCGTCCGTGCGTACAAGGAGTGCGTATTTTATTCGAGTTTTTCCATTTTACGTTTCAGACGGGAATATTTGTCTCCCACCAGCCCCAAATCGGGGTGTGCGTACTTTAATCGGGATGTGTACTATATTCGGGAAATTACGGGTACCTGTAGGGGGAGGGCCATGGAAAAATTTTTGAGATGAGGGGGGAGGGCCAAGGAAAAAATTTTGAGATTGGGGGGGAGGGCCATGGAAAAAAATTTTGACCGGACTTCCAGCGCACCAGCCCTCCCCCCGGTAAATATCGTACAGTCCCTTACCGTGCCTGTGCCTAATTAGGCGCGCCTGGAACAGGCCAAATTCCAGCAACAGTTGCGGTAAGCACCGCGAGTGTTACTACCGCCGGCCAGATAACCAGGATATCTGCTTACAGAACCTCTGCTTCCAGACAACTGCCTAAACCTACGGCCTATTCCACAGGATTGTAAAAGTAGGGATGTTTCTAAAATATGCATTTACTTCAATATCAAAACAGCTACGGTAAAAATAAAAAGACGTGCATCATCCCGGACATAATGCCACACCACATGCGAAATTACACAGAAATGCGACGTACGGAAGAATGCGTTTTGGCTGCGAACATCTTCCAAAAAAACTTGGCATCTCTTAACCATGGGCAAAAACATCTGGAACCACTTATAAAAACCACCCCGTATCTGCATGAACTTTTACCCCCCCCCACTGCTATTCCAAACAACGCGTTTTTCTGGACCATTCCAATTCGCCTCGTAATTGTAGGGGTGCGTCTGCGATATTACATTGACCGCGAAAGCAGCAACGGCAAAAATACACATTCGTGCATCAACACGGGCATGCCCGCAGACGGCGTATAAAATTGCGTGCCGATTACACAAAGAGAACCCAGTGTTTTGACTGCGAACATGAAAAATCAGCCGATTACAACACTCCGTCCGGAGGTCCTGACCTCCTTCACGGAGTAACAAAAATGGACAACTACTTTTAAGGAATGAGTATATCAAGGCACATTCTATGGTAGCTAGAGTGCCAACTGTAGAGAAAGGCTTTTCAGTCTAAACTTCACTATTTTGTTTTCAATTATGCCTGTATCATTTTTGTTTCCTTCAATTTTCAAGATGAATTGGGGATAGTGATCAGCATACTTTGTTTCCTACTAGAATCAAAAGGAATAGAAAAGTCAACACTTCTTGAAAGCTTCGATGGGTGTCACAATTTGGTATGTGGTTATACTAGTAGTATTTTTTTTCTTCATCTTCATCTTTGCCGGGGCTCTAGGATGTTGTACAAGCCCCGGCTACACCCCCATATAGCGTGGGGGCACTTGGGGGGGGGGGTAAGATTCACACAGATTTTCCTTAGATCGTCATCAACTTTCTTTATCCAAAAAAGTCTACCAGTGACATAATATCAATGATTGTATTTACCTAAACATTCCATTTTTGTTTTTACAGCCATATTCTGTTCATCTACACCTCCAACAGTCTGTCTCTTCCAAAACCATTTCCAAAAAACAAATAGTGAAAACAAACTTAGTTACATTACATTACTGGCAGTAGATCAGTCAAACTGAGCTCAATCCAGACAAATGTTTGTAACCTTGAAATGTAAGCCCTATAGAGCCGAAGTAAAGCCCCGTGTATAGAATAAGATCCTCTTTGCTTCTCAGAGGACTCTTAAAGTAAAGGGTTTTCTATAACAGATGACCCAGGGGTGTACTGGCTAGACGGCTGTTGTATGTGATGTCGTTGAGTTACTTCACTCTGTGAAATGTGAATAGGCATAGCCTTGCTTCACTAAGCAGTGGTCGGAAAAGTAGTTCAAGGATTGGCTAATTTTACTTCTAATGATTCTTCTGACCTTCATTTGCCCCAATAATACACTACGTCTTCATTGAAGCCTGGCAATTTCTGATATGCATAATGTCAGACAATTCTTGCCATTATCATAACATATTTTTAGCATTTAATGTTGGAAACCTTTCAAATCACATTGGTCCACGTGCTAGATAAAATGTTCTAAAAATATTTTGTGACGATGTTGCAAGTGTGTACAGGCACTTGCCGTGCCATGGATTTCTACCAAGGAACTTTTCTTTGCATAAAAGGGTATTTCGTGTCATGTTACCCTATAACCCTATCGTGTCATTTTCCCCAAAAGGGACAAATGTTTTGAGTATCTCTCTCCGACCCTTAAGTGTGAAACATTGGCCATACACGTTCATAACAGATGAGGGTATTTACACCCTACCATTGGGGCTCCATTTGGCACGTCTACCTATGATCTGTCTAAGCCATGACTTAACGTTGATGGCAATTATTTTACAGCACATGTCACCACTAAAATGGGAGAGTGCATTGGTGATCTACATGTGGCTTAGTCTATAATCCCCATCTGTGACAAGGGGCTCTTCGCTCAACTATTGAAAAGTGACTTTTTACTCTCCCTCAGTGTCGTTACATGTCCCTATCCGCTAAGTAGTTTATGAATGGTCAAGGGGAGATACATTTTTATCACGATATCAGTCAAGGTTTGGTAAAGACGTGGTAAGCATGAGAGAAAGGGGCGGAATTTAAAGTAGGGCTCTAAAAGTGTATTTCAACCTATCATGCTCAAAGTCTACGGCTCCATGGTTTGACTACAAGCCACACATACAACAGTGTTCCTTTGAACTCACACATCATGGTAAGGGGGTCGACAAATTCGGCTTTCTTTTCTCTGTGCGGCTCATGGTGATGTATTCAACGATCGAATACAAATTTTCATGGCTAACTGAATAGCGACCGAGAACATGTCTTTCTTGGGCCACTCCCTATCGTTCGAGAGAACACCCTACGTAACAGGCACGACCTACACTTCCCAGACTAGAAGTTGCCGTTATCTCATTATACATGTAACCACTAATGTTCACAACATTCTACTTTCTTCCTGCTTTATTTTGTTGCAATACTATTGAATGTCAACAATAATAGTACTGAAAGAAGGTGAAAAACACAAGAATGTTACTACCAACTTTCTACTCACCATCTTTGCTATCAGCTTTTCACTATTTGGATAATGTCATCAAAAACTGGTGAGAATTATACCATGGAAACACATCTCGCACAACCCTGGATAAATATCAATAGCCCTCCTTTGTTTTTACACACCAATAGCATCATATAAAAGATGATGCGAATTTATGAAAATAATGGTGCTTATTGTCTGGAATGTATGATGGGGTATATACATCTCATGCGGTAAGCAGCAGTATGTCCTTTAATGAATATATGGTAAATTCTCATCCTGGCATTTAACGTTCGTCAGCGTAAATGTCTTAGTACGCTAATGAATACTAAATGGATGTGGTATACACTATCATACTATTAATCAAATGCCCCTTGACTGTAGTTAATGGCAACCGTCTCAGTTATGTGTCGCAGATAAAGATGTATGGTGCTTTGAATGTCAGTAAAACAGAGAACTTCCCAGTCACTCCCTCACCACTAATTCACACCTTGAGTTCAATACCATCAAATGGCCTCCCATCAATCTGCATCCCCTGCTAACAGCCGCGTATCGGCAAGAAATATCGGGTCGTCTACCTCGGGGGTTTCTCGGTCTGATTTAAACTTAGTAACCGTCTAATAATCACGGGAATCTGCGCCACCTGGGGCACGTCTGTCGTCCTTGGTGAGGTCAATGATTCACCAAAGTTGCTGACCTGAGGAGGTTATACTTCAGCATGGTTGGGAGTCTAGTGCTGTGTACCTAAACCAACGTTCAGGTCCAGGTCCGTATTCATGTCCATAGGTTCAGAGACTTGTAAGCCTGCATGGACCTAAACATAGATCATATACAAAATACGGTAACAGTTAACATATCCAAATGGAAAATGGGGCATCTTTACCGCGAAATTTTGTAGCGAGCACTGCAGTACCAGGGTTTGGAAGCAAGATATGTTGTTTGCGGGGCACGTCTGGGCAAAACTGTGGCCACAAAATTTACAGAGGTCGACACTTGACGATGCCCAGTGACATTTTTTATTGAATGTGCATTTTGACTATTGCATATTTCAGGTGGTTTAGAAAAAAAAAGGGTATGTAATAAATTTTTGTAAGCCCAGAACAAGTTCCAGACGTTCAGTTTGTTTTGGACTTAATCCTAAAATTTTTACAAATCCGGAACTAGTTCCAGCGAACCGGTACACAGCACTAGGGGTGACATGGGACGAACGTTTTCGAAACTTGTTATCTGACATTTACAACAGGCAGACTAATCGATATTTTGCAGAGATACAGAAGGTCAAGTGGGATCTATAAGAAGTAGTGCTGTGTACCAGTTCGCTGGAACTAGTTACGGACTTGTAAAAATGTTTAGGTTCAAGTCCAAAAAAAACTGAACGTCTGGAACTAGTTCCGGACATCATGTCACATTCCCCTTGAAATGACCACCTGAAATCTTCAATAGTTAAACATTTGCGCTGCAAAATGAAGAAAACATTGCCATTGGACATCGTCAATGTCGGCCTCAGTAAATTATGTAGCCACTGTTTTGCCCAGACGTGCCCAGCAAAAAACATATCTTGCTTCTGAACCCTGGTGATGTAGTGCTCGCCACAAAATTTTGCTGTAAAGATGGCCCATTTTGGTGTGTGTAAGTCCGGACCTGAACCTAAACCTCTGGACTTGAATCCGGACCTGGACCTGGGTTTAGTTACACAGCACTTAGTCTTTCCCCCTACCTGTTCATTCTCTTCATGAGCACGCGCACCACGGTACACATTGACACAATGAACGTTGGATATGCCGATGACGTCACACTGTCAAGGACTCTCTCCGTAGCCTTAGCTGATCAGGACAAAACTGTAGAGGACGAGTCTTCTCACCTCAACTCCTGGGCAGAGGACAACAAGATGACACTGAACGGTGGGAAGAGCCTCCTTCTCCAGATCTGCTTCAGTCGATCTGTCCCAATCCCACCCACGATCACTCTTGGAGGTCAACCAGTGCCATCTGTCGACTGTGCTAAGGGACTGGGTTTCCTCATAGACAAGGACCTAACCTTCAATGAACAGGTTAACTCCATGATCAGTAACGCTTCGCGCAGACTACACTACTTGCGCCTACTAACGAAACAAGGCACCAGCGTTACCGACCTAATCCAGATTTATCTGGCGCTAGTCCGGCCAGTGCTCGAATACGGACATGTGTTACTGGTCGGGTGTAGTAAGGAGCAAGAACTGGCCATCGAAAGGGTCCAGCGCCGGGCCTTGCGTATCATTTCCTTGGGAGGAAGGCGTAGCGTGCCTGACCTGCCCACACTGAAGTCGAGGAGGGAAGATGCGGCAGTACACCTGTTCCAACGCATGCTTCAGGAGGACCACCCTCTACATGACCTAGTACCGCCCTCAAGGTCTGGTGCCACGGGACGGACACTTAGAAACTCTAGCACTATCAGTGTACCAAGGGCCCGAACTGAGAGACTAAGAAATTCTTTCCTCCATTGCGCAATCCGTCTTTACAACAAGACAATTAGCACTGAGTAATTGGACATCTGGTAATCGCGCCATGTATAGCATATGTTAACTGTGACATGTTATTTGTGATGTTTTTAATATTGAGATTTTACCTATGTGACGATTCTTTTTAAAATGTAAATGTTTTTAATGTGACTTGTGTAATAAGGACGTAATTCGGGTGCACATGTGTTGCCCGCGAGTTCCTTAATGAATAAAGATTGATTGATTGATTGATTGATTGAAGAAGTGAGAATAAGATAAGCAATTATCATATGTGACCCAAATTCAAGAGCACACATAGATAGTGTAGTTGAAATATAAGTTCTTTTTTATACATCCCACAGTTGGGGTGCAAAAAAACTTCGATCAAACGGTCATATTTCTATTTTCATTGTTCCCAATATGTACAATTTGTTGATGTGGGGGTTTACCACAAAATAGCCCATCTGTGTCCTCAGTGAACATTTTCAGCTATTTACTATTCAATGCCATTCCCAATAGTAACTTTGATGTTGGCTTGGGTTCATAAAGTTTGTGGAACTACTGCCAACCCAATTCCTGAGTCATCGCCAGCATGCTACCAACTACGCCCACTGATCCTTAACACCCTGTGCTTTTTCATGCTTAAAGGACAGCATTGCCGGCATATTAATCATCGTTGTCTACCACATATTGCAAATGGAGTTGAAAACGTACATACGTTGCATATTGCATATCTTGAGTTCTACTCGTAGACAATCACGACACACCAGCAGATTCTGCTAGCTTGGTGATGGGTGACGTTGCAATTGTGGAATGTCGGAGTAATAAGGCCACACCAATTTAATTTGTTGGTTCTCGGATTCGCCTCTTCGTTTTTTCTGATTTGCAAAAAAAAAATGATTCTGGTCCTGAATCAACTGAAAAATGCTCATGTTTTGCCCCCCAACAGTTGAGGAAAGTCCTTTTCTTCCTAGTTGTTACAGTTTTCCCATTTATCATTGCAGTGGTTTGATTAAAAGTTCAAAATTCAATGTTTAAATTTTAACCCAGCCTTTTGTGTTGACTTCATGGCTCATTCCATAGCATTTAACCCTATAATAGGATGCCTAGACCTGTTTTTATTTATTTTTTTTCGCCCTGTCGCTTCATATTTTTTTCTGAAAAAATCCGAGAACCAACAAATTAAATTGGTGTGGCCTAATCTAAGCTTTTATCTGTCCATTTTCTGAAATTTGCACATTGCAGCTGTCAAAATTCACTTTTCTCCTATTGCTCAGCTTTAAACATGAAGACAGTTGTCATCTCTGTAACGTGCATTACCCATAATTGGGTCTCTGCTGTACGAGATAGAGGCACGTAGAAAAGCCACAAGGATATCATTACCAATCTTCTATCCCTCTATCCAATGATAAAGAGGCAATTCACAGAGAAGTAATGTCTTTCAAGACAGTTTAAAGTATTGTTGCTGAATGTGAGATATAGCAACTACTATCTCGCGTTTCTTTTCAAGCTGAAAGTGGCACTCTGAAAATGCTTGAATCCATCAGAGTTAGTCTTGACAGTTGCCATCACAGCGAAGTGAATGGCCAATACCCGTCCGTTGAAACTGTCTACTTGTGATATCTTATATGTATAGTAGCTGATGTAGCTATTTTATAAATCTACCAGCATATTCTTGACAGTTGCCATCTCAGCCAAGTGAATGGCCAATACACGTCTGAAACTGTCTTGTCATGATATCTAATATGATTAGTTGCTGATGTAGTTATTTTATAAATCTTACCATATTTCTTGCCAGTTGCCATCTCAGGAAAGTGAATTGCTAATGTGAGTCTTTTGAACCTGTCTTCTCATGATATCTCATATGAATAGTTACTCATGTAGCTATTTTATAAATCTATATGCATGGCTATTGACAGTTGCCATCTCAGCAAAGTGAATGTCCAATACACGTCCGTTGAAACTGTCTTCTCATGATATCTCATATGAATAGTTGCTGAAGTAAATATTCTACCATAAAAATTTTACCATAATTCTTGACAGTTGCCATCTCAGTATAGTGAATTGCCAATACATGTCTGTCGAAACTGTCTTGTCATATGAAAAGTTGCTGATGTAGCTATTCTATAAATCCTATCATAATCCTTGACCGTTGCCATCTCAGGAAAGTGAATTGCTAATGTAAATCTGTTGGAACTGTCTACTCACGATATCTCATACATGAATAGTAACTTTTGCTGATGTAGCTATTTTGGGACCACCTGAGTTTCACGGTTGCCTGGCTGATGCGCCTTGTATTGATGTTAAAGGCACCCAGTGCAGTTTTTAGGGCTTGGAAACCAGATTTTTCAAATTCAATATTCTAGTCATTGATCTACATACTGAGTTGAAACCACACTATCCCAATGTATATTGACCCTAATGGAACAAAAAATCCCATAATTCTGACGGAAAATGGTTACTGGAAGGGCCCTTGGTTGATTCTTACTAATAGGTTACCACCATGAAAATAAAGGACTGATCTTGGGGCTTGTTTCTGCAGTTTAAAATGCTCAAAGTATGAAATGCTGATTCAAATGTGCATATTTGAAGCAGTATGTGTCAATATCATAGAGATTGCCTTATTCAGAATATCTCCAGTTTTACCGCCATGAAATTGCATTGGATGCCTGTAAAGTGCATATCGGCTGTGGATACGGTTCTCTTCCGATGTGCAATCCGTCATCTTCGGGTGCATCCATCACCCGCCCAGTGGATGGCATAAGCCGTTGAATTACACTTCAATTTGCGATGCCGCTGGTCCGGGCGACATTACACCGCAATGACCATGACCGTGAGCTGTCAAACGGGAGCGACTGCAATAATGAATTCTTAGGTCGGTTTACGGGCGACATTGACCTTCAAGAAAATGTATGTAAAAGAAAGTCTATGACTATAATATTGTTACTGATTTTACTGTGACAGTCCGAAGTTTGGCATATTAATTGAAATTCCATGTTATCGTTATTCGAATGGTTATGATTAAGCTTCGTTTCTGGTCTGCATGCTAATTAATAAACCCTTAATCAGTTTAAAACTAATTTTTTGCTAAAGAACTTTCATCCATCAATGAATTAATTGAATAAAAAGAAAGACTGCGAACATGTTGAGTAATAAAAAAATATCTAAAGCACCAGTCACGGCCATCGGCGCCATCTTGGCGTCCGCAAATGGCAAAACGCGGTCATTATTCATAAATCTATTCTTCTACCTAAAAATCATGGTAGTAAAGTGTAAGTCAAGCACACTATTAATATTCGTGGATATGTTTATGGCCGTGGAAAAAGCGCTTTGAATGTCATTAAATATAAATTTAAAACCAAGCAATCCTCTTGTAAAGTAAAGTAAAGCACTGCAAACCAGAGGCAGGGACCCCAAACTGAAATATTTCATAAAAATACAATATTACAATAAAATATAATATAAGTAATTTGGCCTAGAAAGATATAAGAATGTACGTGATGATTTTGACACAAATATGCGTATTCTTTACGAGTTATTGCTCGAGCTAGCCTAGACTTCATGGCTCAAGCAACATAAATTGTAGAATCTTTGACTGGTGGATGGAAAATTGCGTGGGTAGCTTTCTCTATAGCTACACATCAAATTCCACTGCAACTAACGCAATAAAGTAGCTTATACCGACATGCAATGTTATATTTTCAAAACTTCATATGGTGCACATGTTAACGGCCTACATGTTTCGTCCATAAGTATAATTGCTACAAAATATGTCCCAACTTGGCCACTAAGTGCTCAAAATTAATGTGGGTTTATGTGTAACGGTTGTAAGGATTTTACAGTGCCTCAGAGTTTCATAGGTTACATAACAAAGCAGACAAGGCAATACAGACAAGGCAATACATATTAGATAACATTAAATAAATCTGGACACATAGCAGATATATCTTGCTCATTGTAAAAAGAACGAAAGGAAACACAAGAGATTTGAATAGTATATGCACATATTGTGCAGCTCCGTTATATACCTTCAGCTTGACCATAGGAAAGTGTTTTTCAATTACTACATTTTCACGACACTAATATGTTTGATGTTAAATTAGTACTAATTGTATTTTAATGTAATGAATCAGAAAGATATCTATATGTCAATAAACCATTCATCATCAACATTCATATTCCATATATTTGACACGAAAACATACAAATAGGAATGTAAGGAATAAACTTGTTCACCACAACCTAATTTTCATTTTGCATCATTATTCAGATACACCAGTGTTCAAAAGAGATACCACTTCTATGCAGGAAGCTATGAAAGACTTGTAGATGAATGCAAAACCTGGAAAATGAATGAACTAAATGTGCCTATACTGTGACTGTTTTGTACATGTAAATGTTTGTAACATTATTTGTATATTGTTGTGCTCAACTTGTGTAATTTTTTATGAATGTAATTTTCAATTTTGTGTCCAGGGATACCTGAAAATCAGATCAATGGATCTGAGGTATGCCCTGGTAAAATATATTGAAGTTGTTTATTGCAAATTCCTGCCCGAGGGCTAATTGCATACAGACATTGACAAGAAAATGTCGTGATACATGTATAAGACTATTTGCTAACAGGAACTTCTACGTGTACGATATACTTATCGAACCTACTATCTCTACTTAAATCTAATAACGTTGGTATACATATAGGATAAAAAAAGTAAATATGCAATATGTGAACAGGTAATAGGAACAATGTAACTGCTATTCTAATCTATTCTATCTTATTAAACTATTCTGTGATATATAAACTTGAAAAGATCTATAGATAATACCCACCTGACTTTTAAAGCTCAAAGCAGGTGGGACCAAACTCCTTGGGTAGACATTACTGCATAAGGGCACGGGCACCTTTCCTTTTTCATGTAGAGAGAAACTCCTTGGGCAGACATTACTGCTGAAATGTTGTCATTTATCGCCATTGGAGTAATTACCTCTCCTTGTTGATTGAGTTGGGCGATTGGGGTAAGATTGCCTAACCATCCTTTACAGAAACCAAGGGAGCCATCGTAGGTATCGAGCTGTATTGAAGGTAATTACCAAGTGTCAGCTGGGAAAGAGAGGGAGACTAAGTGAAGGACAAAGACCACGGTGGTGTACCTCAGTGCCTTCTGAGACCTCTTTAATGTCATGTCTCTTAAATCAGATCTTTAGGTGACTGCGATATAGGTATCAAATTGGCAGAGCAGTATTCAATACATGCCCCTTTAGTTGAGAAAATAAAGCTTGACAAAAACGCTGAAAACACGTAAAAAATAAGCTGAAATCTTGCTTGCAGAGTAACTTTCGTGAACCACCAATGGAAGGCATAATCTTTTGAAGTTCGCAAAAACGTAGACAATTACACCTCACAGCAATTATCTTAATACGTCCCCATTATCGTAAAGTCTCTAGGATATAACGCAGCAGGAACACACAGAAATTGGATGGCGCTTCATTTCTTTCTGTTAGATGTTCTTCCTGGAAAATATCAAGATAGCAAGCTATAACGAGTATGCCCTTCTTCGTTCAGTTAGTTTGTACAGCGGCTACCATGCTGAGCAAATAGACAATTTCCTTTATTGACTCCAAGATGAATTTTACTGATAGTCGTTTGAATTTCCCATGAGATGGTTTAAATCAGACCGATCTGCATCAAGATAACATAGCCTTGGGTATGGATTATATTGTATGTAAACTTTTAGTACAGTGGAATTTGCGGACCCAGAAACTATATACAGTCGTTTATTGACTGAACCCATAATATGATTCTAAAAACAGATGCTGGGCAAATTAGAAAGTCTTCTCAAAGTTTGCACATGGAAATGCCAAACACAGTGTAAACTTAGGACTAATGATCTCCCTATTAAGTGAAATGCCTTTGAGTGTGTGTCCGGAATGTGGGAACAGTAGACTTTAATAGGTTTGCAGTCGTGTTCTGCCTCAACCTGATTGAGTCCAGACGGAGTATTGATCCGAGGTTGATGAGTAGACGGGATTGAGAAAGTAGCAAGGCGCACTTGACAATGGGTAATGTGAATTTTTTCTATACAGCACAGACCGTTTGCAGTTTTTCTTCGATATCTACGCATAAGATTTTTTCTCTTTAAATTTTGGTGCATAGGAGTTTCTTAAATGAAGTCATAGGCAAAAAGCAAAAGCAGTATCTGTACAACACACACTTCTTGTACTGTTGGAGGCTTGAACTTTTGTAATTGGACAAACTTGCAATTGACATTGGCAAAAGTAAATCGCATTTTTCTGCGATTAAAGCAGCTTTACTTCTGTAAGAAGTATGAGAACGCTGTCCCAAATGTTCCCCATATGTGTACTTGTATATACGGAATTTGACTCTATAAATGCCAATTGGTCCCTAGCAAGCTAAACATTCAACAAAAGAGACACACTTGACATAAAGTAAGGGGTAATTTTTTTTCTGAGGTAGAAGGAACTTCAGTTCTGTAAGAAGTATGAGAGCCATGAGTCCCAATGGTTGTTAATTTACCCCATATGTCTATAGATACAATTTGAGGCTATAAATGCCAATTGGTCCCTAGCAAGCTACACATTCGACAATATACAGGACTCTGTACTTATCTTGACATTAAGGCAATTAAACCATTTTTAAGCAAACTTACGTATATACATTTTAATCATGCAAATGCTAAGAGGCACTAGATGACCAGAATTATGTATTTATCGTCATATTGCTTACACATGAAGGTAACTATATTAAAATTAACTTATATTAAAGAAATCACACTGCATCTATCTAAACACAAAACGAAAATGAAATGGCAAGGACACAAAAAGTTTACTTTGGAAGCAATCAATGATAATATAAACAGCAATGACTTAGGAAAAGATTGATAGTAGGGATGGGTTAACGAGGATATTGACTTTGTATCACAGTGATAAAATTACAGGTCGTTGCCACCGAATGGCGTCACATTAACTGACACTAATTGTAGATGATTAAAGAGGATACATTTTCGCGACCACCAGTTAATACTAAAACGCATTATATTTTTCACGGCATGTTTTGGTTTTCGTTTGTTAGCAGTAAATCTTATCAAAATCATACTAGTATGTCTTACGTAAAGCAGTAGTTGACATATGTTTACTCTCTAAGCAGATCTTTTGGTTTTTCAACACAGTATCAAATTAGCAAGATAGTATTATTAGATCATTGGCAAGGTTGTATCCGATATGCCACCTGAAAATTGCTGCCAAAAATATATATAAATTTGTACACAGAAAGCCTGATAAGAACGCCAAAAACACGTCAAAATAAGCCAAAGCCCGAACCTCTGCTCTTAGCTTTAAATCTACTTCGACTATAAATTCCAATATCAGATAGTCAAAGTTACAAGGCTTTTTACTATTTTTTTTTTTGGAAAGTTGTAATTTCATTTATCTGACAAGTCGGTGCTTACCAAAGATGGAGTATTGTCTTGTTTGGATACTTTTATGGGAAGCCTTGTACGTAAGTCTTTTAGAAAATCTATATTGTTATTGATGGATCTTAGCCTAATGTGGTACTTGTTAGCCTATTAGAAAGTTATATTGTGTATGTTTAATTTATGTATCTTTTAGCACCCAAAATCAGCCATACTGCCTGTGTGGCCATTGTATTGCCTCGTTGCAAATGAACTAAAATAAAATAAAAACAATAAAGAATATTAACTTGCCCTTCTGGCGAATCGTGGACGCTAGCATAGCCGCGAATGCAACATGAAATAATCGATCTTACTCTTATGCCCCTGTCGGTAGAAAGACAGCCAATTTTCACCATACGATGGGTGATCAAAGACGGTAATTATAGCCCAATCAATGCTATGATCTAGGTGGGTTCCCACTGGATCATTTCGAGCGGTCTGGTTTACTCGCTGGGACGAGGGTTGAATAATCGAAGTTTATTTATCTGCAGTGTAGTTGCCGCGATTTCCAGAGTATAATTACTGTGCAAATGCTACTAAAACCGAGCTCAACATTTGAATACAAAGCGCGTTCTTGCTGAACATGAAGACAAATATAATACTGTGCAGCATAAGTAAGGAACTTGTGTAAATTTAGATATGTATAACTGAATGAGAAGAATCAGTTTACCATCGGTTATCAGGCCATAACATTAAAGGTGGTCGGTTATTAGAATAACCGACCTCTTTTTGGACCGTACCATTATATAGGGGGCAGGGCACTGACATCAGTTTTAAGACCTGTGGTGTTTATATATTCAACAATGTTTTGTAGTTTAATTTGAAAAGTAATACTGACGCCTGCTTTTTAACAGCATGGTACTGGGGGACAAAATAACCATATTTCGCTTGTGATAAAATATGTATTTTGTTAATTATTTACAGCCCCACTCATGATATCGTCCGCCGCATCAGTTGTGGCGTCAACTAAGAGTCCGTCGGTTCTCTTGACAAAACTTCAACTCGAGGTGAACTCTCGTCGTCAGAATGGTAAGTTCATAACTGTAAATGAAACCTTTATGCTACACCTACGCAGAAACACTAGTCTGACTGTGACATTAGAAGATATTAAACTCAGTGATGTTGATAAATGTAGTTTTATTGGGTTGATTTATTGGTTGACCTAAAATGTTACGATACTTGACACTTCATTTAACCTCGTAGTTAACATCGCAATGTATGCATAACTACATTAAAAACCTGTATCAGATTTAAATTATACCAGATAGCAAACGCATTGATTTGTATTCACCTTTACATTGACAAGACCAGATAATAAATACTCTGGTGTTTTGTTCGACTTAAATATTTCTTACCACCCTTACAGGGCTTGAAATAACTAGGAGACAACAATATATCGACAGTGGTGATTACCTATTAAAGGGCAAGACGCTAAAAGCTGTCACCGTCTTGGTAAGTGCAAGATGAAACTTTGACGATGTAAAACAAAAATATATAGTGGCTGTCATTGCAGCAAAAACTGTATGATATGATCTGACATTCAATTTAGAAGTAAATAATAACAACGTGAAACTGCTAAATGAGCTGGTGAAGTTGAGCTTGTGCAAGCAAAGCATGAGCAAATCTTGTACTAAAGATACATTATTTCATTGTTTATCACTATATTGTACACACTTTTAAACGTATAATGTATGCAATATACACAATTCAGCCTTTGGCTGCAACGCCTTTTATCAATAAACCAGTTTTGATTCATTGATTGATTTGTGTCGATACAGGAAGAACCTTACGCTACGAAAAAGATCACAGACGAAGGTACAGACTTCCACGGGTTCGTTATAGACATAGTGAAGGAGTTGTCTTCTAGTTTAGGGTTCAGCTATGAGCTGTATGTGTCGCCGGATGGAAAGTACGGCGCCCCTAAGGAGAACAACACACAATGGAGCGGTGTGATCGGAGAAATAATGTCGGGGGTAAGTCCATTAACGTTGTTCCAAAAGGCCTAGGAAAGAAAGAACATGCAACATTAAACATTCATGGAAAACACTTGACCTTTGGACTAGGAAAAAATGTCGTGTTTCCTGTTTCAGGCCTAAAAATGTGGGTCGGTAGGTAGGGATTATCTTTTTGTTCCTTTTTTTTTTGTAGTGTTGGCAAACAGATTGACAGACATATTCCCGCCATTGCCAAGCAGCGTCTTCAGTGAATAACAACAACCAATCAGCGTGCTTGATTTTAGATGATTGACAGATCGATTCCCGCCTTTACCAAGCAGCGGCCTCAGTGTGTTGCAACCAATCAGCGTGCCCGGTTTAGATGATTGACAGACAGATTCCCGCCATTACCAAGCAGCGTCCTCAGTAAATTGCAACCAATCAGCGTGCCCGGTTTAGATGATTGACAGATAGATTCCCGCCATTCTTAGTAAGGCCACACCGTCTTAATTTCATGGATGACATCCTCTGAAGACCCCTAAGATATTGTGTGATAAATGTCAGCAGGGCATGAGTTAAGTCATCTTAAGCAATGTTATTAGACTTCAACAATTCAAAACGATTATCACTGATGCTTGGAAAATATTTGCAGATTTCATAAATAATGGGCCCTCGGTACCTAAAACTATAGGTACCATGCATAACATAACGATCTACCTCTACAGTCTCAGCTTTCTTTAGACAAAGTATGATGATTTTAAATCAAAGTTAATTATTAATTCTAGAAACAATAGTAAGTCTCATAAGGTTTTTAAGGTTTGATCCCTCAGCTGCTTTATTGTCTTACACTGTCTACGAGACGAACATCAGGTGACATCCTCATTGTAATTCTGGGGAGGATTCAACGACAGAACGCATTTGTCACTTAGTGCAAACTTGGCTCGGGACAGGCTTTCTTCAGTTGTACAAGGTTCATAGACGGAATTATTTAGCATGGTGGCTTCCTCGGTATTACAAAAGGTCAATAACCTCTCTCCCTCGTTATCTTCATCAATATGCCGGTACAACATTAACCAAGCTGAGAAGCTTGCCAAGAATAAAACTAGACTTTTACTGCAATGATGCAGTATTCTTCGGCTTTCTTGTATTGTTCCAACCTGTACGCCAGTCGTACCTTACAAATCAACTACACTTTTGTCAATGTTAGAGAGAGACGCCGGTCTCGCAGCGACTGCTCTAGTGTCCGCCATGAGGGACAGGGGGTACTGGAGTAACTTGGTCAAACGGCATAATGATTTATTTATGATGATGATGATGATAATTTTTTTTTAACTTTTTTGTACACTCTGTCATCTATTTTTATGTTTACTGAAGGAAAACATTGTTTTTGCTCCATTTCTTCTTCTTCTGTTCCAAACGCTAACCTCTGACCTGGCCAATGGCCTCTTTTGTTGACGTCTGTCACCATAGTAACTGGTGTTGGGTTACATAATGTTGCAATTTCATAGTAGGCATTTAGACCCCTGTCACCATATACATGTACGTGACATGTTTGAGTAAGAATTAACAGAGCAGACCATATCCGAAGGTAAACATTATGCAGTTGCTTTGCAAATGTTACTTTTCTAGTTGTTCTGTAATTTCCCCATGTTTTAGCGGGCGGATGTTGCAGTGGCTCCTGTGACCATCAGCTCGGAGAGGGAGCAGGTGGTGGACTTCACCAACCCGTTCATGGACCTGGGAGCAGGGCTGCTTATGAAGAAACCGGAACCGGAAGGAACCAGTATATTCGCATTCCTACAGCCGTTCAAGGGAACAGTGTGGTTCTCCATCTTGGGGGCATTGCTGGGAACCGCCATATTGCTCTACGTCACAAGTAGGCTGAGGTGTGTTCTGTTTATTTGATTTGATTTATTAGACTGTATAAAACAGCCAGGACTGCCCAACTAGCCGGAGGCTATTATAAAGGGCTAGCCCTCACAACAAGAGCATAAACAATTAGGAACATACACAGGTAACAGTGTCGGTTACACTTTAGATAAACATATGGGTTCTGTTCATCAGCATATAGTACCATGGAACAGTCATTTACATAAACGCTGAAGTTATCCATAGATTGTTCAAGTATCATAAGAACTAAGTTAGGAAACAGCACAAGTATATGCCTAATGACAGTGTTTTTTAAAAGTTTTATTAGGTAGGATTGACGTACAGAGTTTAATAATTACAGAGCCGGACAATCAAATGCTCAATATATCCTCTTTAGAATACATACATGGGTAATCATACATTCATTAACCATATGGATGTGTTGATTTTATTGTTTTAGGTTCAAGTGTGATATTGGGGACCAGAATTACTACAATGACCGCAAATTCAATTTCAAGAATAGTTTGTGGCTGACTTACTGGTCAATTGTGCGGAAAGGTGCGTTTTAACTTCCTTGTGTACCTGAATGTTTTTTTTAAGTTTGTCTGTGCTGGAATAATTATTTTAATGAGATTAAACTATCATGTCAAACCTAAGATAATTTTCTGTTAAACATCAGAAAACAGCACCTTTCTTTGTCAGAGAAGAGCAACCCAAAGTTTTTTTACGGTATAAATTTGATCACGTAACTCAGTAAGGAGTGCATCAATTGCTACAAAAATGTTGGTAGCCTTCTCGTATAATTTGAGGACAAGTGGTTTGAGGGAGGGCTATGTAGTTTGGGTGGCAAGAGAAAACTTGGCATAAGCCATAAAAGTAATTCTAATAATTTATTTTGTGTGCATTTTCCAGGAGGAGAGCCTGCCCCCCGCTCCCTCCCCTCCCGTATCCTGGCCGGTGCCTGGTGGTTCTTCACCCTGATCGTCATCTCCACCTACACGGCCAACCTCACGGCCTTCCTCACCGTCAAACGGCTCGTCTCGCCTATCAAGTCTATCGACGACCTGGCATCTCAGAACTCCATCCCATTCGGCGTGACACAAGAAACGTTTCTCTATTCCTTCTTCAAAGGCCAAGTTGGTAGGTAGCAAAATGTGTCAAACCAACCTTTCAAAATCTGGTTATAAGTGTCTTGTGGTGTCTCTGTTTTCAGACTTTATTACCATGTATTTTTCCTTTCACATACATTCGTCTGTGGCTCAACAGGACGTTTGCAATACCGGCAGTGGAAAGATGTTAGGGAAGTCAAGGATGAAAAAATAAGGGATGATTCTAAATACTATGATTCGGGGAAAAAGAAGAAGAGGAAAGAGAGCAAAAATGTTTTCCTTCAGTAAACATAATAAAGATGTACTAGTAAAGGTAGCGTAACCGTTGTTTTTTTGTGTCTTTTCGTAGACACTGGGTCTGTGTACCATGGTATCAAGTGTTGGGTTACATCATGTTTCAATTTTGTAGATGGAGGGATTTAGACTCCTGTCTGACCATATATATGAATGTGTTTGAGTAAGAATAAACAGAGTTAACATGTTACATTTCTATTTTTTGTGTTCCTCTTTAGACACTGGGTCTGTGTACGAGAGGATGTGGGATTCCATGCAGACCACCGAGATGTTCCCGCCGAGCAGCATGAAGGGGGTGGAGTGGGTACGTGAAGAGCGCTACGTGCTGATCGAGGAGACGCCATTCCTGGAATACACTGTCAGAACTGACCAAAACTGTGAGCTCATGCTGCTGGGAAAACCCTTCTTGTTCAAGGGCTACGGATTCGCCACACGCAGGGGAAGCGCCATTAAAAAGGAGCTGTCGGTGGGGTATGTTATTCGTATTGCTTACTAATAATATACCTTTTAACCTTTCTTCTAGTGGTGACTTTTAACAGTTGTAGGTAATAGTATGTGCAGTTATTCTGTTCTATGTATTCTTCCTAATGTATCTGTATTTTAACTTCATTATGTGCAAAAGTATAAACGGTGGGGTATGTTATTCCTATGCAACAACAATTTGTTGGTTCTCGGATTCGCCTCTTTATTTTTTTCTGATTTGCAAAAACAAAAAAAAACAAAAATTCTGGTTCTGAATCAAGTAAAACTGCTCATATTTTGCCCTCAACAGTTGAGGGAAGCCCTTTTCTTCCTAGCTGTTACAGTTTTTCCATCTATTAATACAGTGGTTTGATTAAAAGTTGAAAATTCTTTGTTTAGATATTAACCCAGCCTTTTTTGTTGACTTCATGGCCCCTATTGTACAATTTGGGTTTATAATATGATGCCTAGACCTGTTTTTAATTTCATTTTTTTTGCCCTGTCGCTTCATATTTCCCTGCTTTATATGTCCCTGTAGCATATTAAAGCTTCAAGAGAGCGGAAAGATGAGCGAGCTACGGGACAAATGGTGGCCCAAGGACGGCTGTCCTCTGGACGGGCAGTCGTCCAATGTCAACGAAGCCTCGGCACTGGGACTGGACATCTTCCTGGGCGTTTTCTATGTTCTCGGAGCGGCAGCCATTTTGGCTGTTATCGTCACGGCGGTCCAAGTTATATACTATCGCTTCTGCAACTTCGGGGAAAAGTTAAAGAAGGTAATTATAGTTTTTTTATTATTCCAATATGAAATCACCAGACGTGCTGACGGCACACTCAAGTTTTTTCAACTTATATTAATGCCGCCACCAACACAGGGGACAAATACATGACAGGACAATACTCATTTACACGTGAGCTAAGTGAGGAAAGTCGTGTAAAGTGCCTTTCCCAAGGGCACACGATCGGTGGCATGTCAGGACTCGAACCCGGGACTCTTAGTTCCGAGTCGCTACGGCTACGCCACACGACCCCCCTAATTATAGTTGCGTCTGGACCTGTTTCTATTTTTGATACAGCTCAATTGGTTTGCGAGGCAGACTAACGAATTCCCGAAGCGCCAAACGAACGGTCGGGGTAGAGAAGAATGGTCTGTATTGAATTGTCGATTCAAATAACAGTCTGCATTGAAGATGGTGCATTCTGTGTGAGTGCCGGTAGTCTGCCTAGTATTGACTTTCTTTGGAAAATTCTTGTTGATAATTAAGCATCACTATTAGTCATATTGTATTCGTGGAGCCTTCAGAATTCTCGTATTGTATAACGCTTCATATTGTTATTACGTACACGTTTTAATACTGCCCCATGAGTACAGCCATTTTTCTTTGGCTATATGTGCCTACAGATTGCAGAAAACTAAAAAAAAAAACATCCACCGCTAATGTCAATCCCCCAGTTATTTGTTTGTTCTGTATGTATGTTCTTGAATAGAAGGCGTTATATAAGCAATCGTGCTTTTTGCCTGATTCTCGTGAAATGTATGTGAATAAAACAAAAAAAATTAGTGCGACCCCAAGAATATATACAAGAGTATAATACTGCCGTAACACCTGCTGCCACTGCTATAGTAACTCAGCGTGCAAAATACCTGGTTGCCCAGGGCAACCAAATTTTACTTACTAATAGGGCAACCTATTTTTGAACCTAGGATGCTTTTTAATTTTAGGTATTAATGGCTATTACTAGTATCAGTTAACTAAAGGCTTATGTATGTAACATTACTTAATTTGAGGAAAGTAGTAACTTATAGGTGGGGCAACCTAAAATTCTGATGGGCAACCTAATTTTTACCCACTGGGCAACCTGGTTCAAAAAAGTATTTTGTAACTGTATTTTTTTTTCACCTGTTCACCTGCAGATGAACTCCAACCGGCGAACCAGCCTGAAAAATCACGTGCTGAGGCGCCAGTCGACCGACGTGAACCTGCACTAGCAACTTTATGTCTAAACATATTTCATTTTTGCGTAGCGGAGGCGGGTGGAATCTTCACACATACTTCAGACTAGATAGTCATCGTAGTAGGTGATTCCTCAGATCTGCTCAGGCCTAGAAAAAATGTGTTTCTTGCTTCCCTCCCGACACTAGAAAAAACTGTCAACCCTAGCAAGGGACATATGTGGTGCAAGAGTGATGAAACGTTGTACAATCGGTTTTCCAACATATGACATTGAAAATATTAGTGTCCTCATGTAAGTTTAACTTTGTTAAACTGCATCATATGAGGTGGGTCTCTAGAGATTGCTAAAGTCTTTAAAAAAAAGGAAATCCCTACCTACCGACCCTAATTTTTTTCAGGACTAAAGCAGGAAACACAACAGTTTTCCAAGGCCTCACTGACGGATGGAGTCAACCAATAGAAGTGAACAGGAACGACTGATTTTCTTCTATTCTAACCATGTTCATATTAATAAAGATTGGTCGTGCCTATTGGTAAATTCAATAACTCAATCCAATGTAAATAGCTACACGTCCACGGATATACTCATTTAGACAATGACAGGCAACGATAAACATCAAGAGTTTTAAGGATAAGAAATAACTTTGTTTTCAAAATAGCCCTTGCTGGCACTGCCAAGGACGTTACTATGAGAAAAACTAAAAGGCAGACACCTAAGACAATACATCCTATGTTAATCAGATATTTCGAGTTGCACAAGACATCCTATTTTACATAATCAGATTAAAAGGTTATGCCTAAGAACCACAAGATCAACCACGAGAGAATAAAGAACCATATGAGTATAAGATTTGCCGGAAAACAATGATCAGTGTAGCAGTCAGTAAATAATCAGCAGCAAAGGAAACATTAGTAACTTCAAGTAGGAATTTCCCTAGTGATTTTGTTTACGTCACTATTTGAAAGCTATGTCAGACTTTCTGAAATCGTATATAAATATTAGAATTAATAGCTATTACCAGCAGGTATGGCATTCACAATCTGTTTATAAAATATATCTAGTAATGACTTGTGATGTTAAGTTTTACAGTTAGAAATTGTGTGAATAGCATTTGTACAAACGTAGGTACTTGATTCATTGTAAATGTTATCCTTTCATAAAATGTTCGACAATATTCTCCGATGATATCTTTCAACCTAGTAACTAGGCCTTTGACGAATAATTTGTTACGTTAACGAAAGAATTTCAACAGTGAGGAAACTAGTGAAAAGTAAAATCAAAGAATGGGATGAAAAATCCTACTCAACATACTTTTGCACAATTAATGTGTTGAGTTAGGTATCCCATTCCTAGATTTGGTCAATTTAAAAGTAAAATGCACATGAAGATTAAATTCTGCCTCTTTGTTGTCATTGT